ATGAGCGCATTTCCCTCCACCTTCCCTGTGAGTTCCAGGTTGTTCAAGCGGTTCATGTGCCTTTCTTCGGGAGACCTATTTGTGTAAAAAGCTCTCTTCCACTGTGAACTTTAACAAGTCAAAGTTCGGGCCAAACATATCGATGAGCATCTTGAAGCTTTACTGAGGTCCTCAGTTGCTTCCTCACACAAGCCAAATGTTGCTCAGCTGTGTAAGAAGAAGCGCTGCCAGGTCTCTGGAAACAAGGAGTAGGAGGAAGTTAGTGACGCCTAGTTCTTAAGAACCCTTAGTGTTTGTTTGTTTTGTTGTTTTGTTATTACTAAAGGTTGAGCACATTGTAACAGTTGTACTTGATTGAATTTGTTATCGCTTTGTTGTGGAATACTTGATGCGGCCCAGGCTAACTCAGACTCTACCTCCTGCGGCCCCCGGATGATTTGAGTTTGAGACCCCTGATATATAGTCTAGCAAATCACTATTTGTTCACATATAGTCTAAGGATATCACTATTTGTTTAAATATAGTATAAGCATATCACTATTTATTTATATATATAGTCTAGCTTATCACTATTTGTTCATATAGTCTAAACATATCACTATTTGTTCATATATAGTCTAGCTTATCACTATTTGTTCATATAGTCTAAACATATCACTATTTGTTCATATATAGTCTAGCTTATCACTATTTGTTCATATAGTCTAAGCATATCACTATTTGTTCATGTGTAGTCCAGACACATTTCTAGATGCTCCTATGTTGCGACGTGACAAGCAATAACGTGTAGCACGTGCCCAAATGTTTTTAAAAATTAAAAAGAAAATGGATTGGGACGCCATTTCCTGGTTGGTTCACTATCTCGCCGAGATTAGACTAAATGTTTGAAGTGGGACACATGAAAGTAGCTAAAAAGGAACCTTGTCGCAGTGACTCCAGAAGTCAAGGGTCTTGGTCTTCAGCTTTGAGGGGGAGAACTCTTGATAACAAGAGATCTAAGGCCCTGAACTCACCCCGTTGGTTGTCATTAGATGGCGTCATTTTCTTAAATTATTTAAAAAATTAGGTTGACCATTCGTAATGGAGGGTTTATAAATTTGGTTTAGTCTGGCCGAATATAATTTGGTTTAGTCTGGCCGAATATAATTTGGTTCAATGTTGCCTCTTATAATTCGGGATCATCCATTAATTACGTCAACAATTTTTACGCAAATTTTTTACACCCCCCCCCCTTGTCAACAACTGTCAAAATTGCATGGCCCCCACCACCCCCCCCCCATTTAATTATGGAAACATTTTGTATTTCCCNCCCCCCCCCCCCCACAAAAAAAGACATAATAATCGCTTAATCAGAGCCAAACGCTCAATAAACACTGACTTCACCTCTGACAATTCAACGAGCAGAGTTACACCCGGAACAATGACTTTAATGCTTCACTGTGCCTCGGAGTAACACAGTTCAATATAAACAATCGTTCTTCCCACCAACAATAAAAAAAAAAAAATTATAATTGCTTAATCAGAGCTTATTGTTGCCCCATATAATTTTGTTTAGTGTTGCCCCATATAATTTTGTGTAGTTTTGCCCCATATAATTTTGTTTAGTGTTGCCCCTTATAATTTTGTGTAGTGTTGCCCCATATAATTTTGTTTAGTGTTGCCCCATATAATTTTGTGTAGTGTTGCCCCATATAATTTTGTTTAGTGTTGCCCCATATAATTTTGTGTAGTGTTGCCCCATATAATTTGTGTAGTGTTGCCCCGTATAATTTTGTGTAGTGTTGCCCCGTATAATTTTGTGTAGTGTTGCCCCATATAATTTTGTGTAGTGTTGCACCATATAATTTTGTTTAGTGTTGCCCCATATAATTTTGTGTAGTGTTGCCCCATATAATTTTGTTTAGTGTTGCCCCATATAATTTTTTGTAGTGTTGCCCCATATAATTTTGTGTAGTGTTGCCCCATATAATTTGTTTACATTTACGAATTAATTTTAAAGTGGAAAATTATATTGTAGGAACATTCTTGTATGACTAAAATAATCCATATCATTAGCATAGGTTGGTCACTCACAGCTATGGAAGGAGTGACGGAGTAGGGAAGGGGGTCACTTAGTACTTAGACCTGTATCTACCTTGTGTCCATTAGCATAGATTAGTCACTCATAGCTATGGAAAGAATGACGGAGTAGGGGAGGGGGGTCACTTAGTACTTTGACCTGTATCTACCTGGTGTCAATGTTACGGGCAATGTGAAAAATTGGGCATTGTTCATAATGCCCGGGCAATTTAAAAAGTGCCCAATGGGATGTGTCACTATGATAAATTATATAGAAAATATTACATTGCCCGGGCATTATAAATAATGCTGGAAATCGAGTGGGCGATTTGACAAAATTTTTATTCATATTTCTCTACATACAAAAATAAGAGTATATTATATATTCAAAAAAAATTTAAAATAACTAACAAACAAATAAAGAAACAAACTGGTGGTGATAAAATAAGTATAAAAAATCCATACGCCTAACTAAAAAAAAAAATATTAGGTATGTACTTACAAAAACATATACACAAAAAATGTCAAATCCTAGAGTTTCTATTTATTAGAGCAACTTCCACTTTGGTGACATTTCGAGTTACATAACTTTTTTTTTCTTTACGGTACTTGTACTTGTGAGATTTACAGCCACACTTACAGCCACATTTACAGCCACATCGACTATAGCCTTGGCCCCCAGTCTTGTATGACATTCTTGCACATTCTCTTAATGAAATCTCTGACTGAGGAATTTCTTCGGTATAAATAAACTTTTCATTACATATTGTAAATTGGTTCCTAGCATAAAGTTGATTTAGGGATTCCATGTTTCGCGCCTAATTTATAAAGATTGGCATCTGTTATTTCAAAAACAAATGCAAAAATATTTCTTCCATCAATGCGACCTCTGTCGACATCTGGGACTCGAACTCTAACTGTGTCAACCTTTTTAACGGCATGGTATTTTGAATTAGAGGTTTGAAGCATTTTTTCAGCTTTTTTTTTTTTTAGATTGCTTGCTGAAATCTCCCTAATTTTTAATATTTCGGCTTTTCTTTTTTTCCCATTGGGATCTTCTGAGGAATCTTCATAACCTTCATATCGGCGTTTTTCATGACCGGAGATTTGAATATCAGATTGCTCGGAGACATTTATTTCTCTTTCCTTGTTAAGAAAATCAGAAATTAAATGGTTAAGTTAACGAAGTTGAAGGTTGAACATAACTATAAATAGAATATAGTTCCTCCTCGTTATGTTAACTTGGACCTAGCTCAGCTAAAGAATTTTCCCCCGGTTCGTTTTGCAGTGCACCTTCTTCTACAGAATGTAAATTGTTTTGATCTTTTACTATTACTTCTAAGTCCTCTTCACAATTTATATAAGGCAGAACGTCTGTAGGTAGAAAACTTTTAAGACCAACTGTTAACTTTGTTCCAAACATGGCCTCATACGGATTACAGTTTATGCCACTATGATGAGCTCTGTTCTTCATAATCTGAACAAAACGTAATCTTTCTGACCAGAGGCGTAGCGTGGTGGGGGCAGGGGGGACAGATGTCCCCGGGAACGAGCTAGTTAGGGGCGCCAAAATGTGCTTTGATAATATTTTATTGATGAAAATAATGGGTTTGAGAGTTGACAAAAAGAAAAAGGCGCGCTAAAAATTGATCTTGTCCCCGGGTGCCAAACACCCTCGCTACACCACTGCTTCTGACCATTTTCTGCTGTTATTGTCTTCCAGCCACGAACAAAGCATATTTTCAACTTCCTGATTTGCACGCTCTACGGAGCTCTAACTTTGAGAGTGTCTGGGCTTCCCATGTACCATCTTTAACTCGGGCCACATGCTACATAGTTCGTTAATAGTATTGTTAGCAAAATCTCTCCCATTATCACTTTGCAAAATAGTAGGCGAACCAAAAATGGTTAAAATATCCAAAAGCACATAAGCTACTTCTTCTGTTCTCTTGCTTTTAAGAGGTTGAAATTGAACACATTTAATTAAATGATCTTGGTATATAATTAATTAAAGTGACCAGAGAAATAATAACAGTATTTATAATGACCGGGCAATGTAATAAATTATCCTAAATTGTCGCAAACAAATACAAAATTATTAAATTGCACGATTTTATCTGTCATTATTCATAATGAACAAGCATTATGAATAATGCCCAATTATTCACATTGTCCGTAACATCAATACCAGATCTCATAATCTATTATTTTATACATTTATTTTTAGATTTAAAAAAACACAATAGATATACAATATATGTACCATATATATACAATATATATAGGCCTATATCTACAATATATATATATACAATAAATATACAATAAAAATACAATATATATATATATATATAGTAAACAATAAATGTCAATATATATACAATTTAAACAATATTTATACAATATATATATCATAGATATATATATTTTTAAAAATTTATATGCATATATATAATATACCAAATATATACAATAAATATAATATATATATATATATATATATATATATATATATATATATATATATATAATATATATAAAATAAATATAAAATATATATATATATATATAATATATATATATATTTTTAAAAATATATATATATATATATAATATATAAAATATATATAAAAAATATAATATATATATATATATATATATATATATATATATATATATATATATACAATATATATAAAATAATTATACAATATATATACAATTCACAAATTATATATAAACAATATATATTTTCGTATAGTTCAATAGTTGCATGGTTTCTACATTGATTGTTCACTAATTTATTGTTTAAAAAGGGGGAGGGGAAGGAGAGAGAGAGAGAGAGAGAGAGAGGGTGGAGAGAGAGAGAGAGAGGGTGGAGAGAGAGAGAGAGAGAGGGAGAGTACCTCTTCTAAAGATCTTATCAGGTACGATAACAAAACACAGTTGAAACAAAATGTTACTGGAGGGAAGTTGAACTTGACACAGTAAATATTGATGGGAGGTAATCACATCGTATGTTGTTGTTGAAGTTTGGTTGAAATAATAGGACTCCTTAAAGGTAATGTGTTTTAATTGTTTAATGTGGTTTAATGTTGTGATTTCATGTCTTTAGATTGCTACAAAACAAATTTGCATATAACTAAGTTAAGAACATTTTTGGTAGATATTGACAAATTTAGGCCTGCCGTATAGTCTTAGTGGGTGTCACATTCGTTGTCGTAATAAGTAGTGCTCCACAATCATTGACTTCATAAGTTGCTCTACACTCATTGTCGTAATAAGTAGGGGCTCTACAATCATTGACTTCATAAGTAGGTGTTTTACAATCATTGACTTCATAAGTACGTGTTCTACAATCATTAATTTCATTAGCAGTTTCTCTACAATCATTAATTTTATTAGTAGGTGCCCTGCAATCATTGACATCATAGACAGGTGCTCTACATCACTGACTTTATAAGTATGTGCTCTAAAATCATTGACTCCACAATGAGGTGCCCGACAATCATTGAATTCATAAGTATAATAGGTGCCCTACAATAATTGACTTCCTAAGTAGGTGCTCTACAATCATTGACTTCCCAAGTAAGTGCTCTACAATCATTGACTTCCTAAGTAAGTAGGCCTACTCTACAATCGTTGACTTCCTAAGTAAGTGCTTTACAATCATTGACTTCCTAAGTAAGTTCTCTACAATCATTGACTTCCTAAGCAAGTGCTCTACAAGCAATGACTTCCTAAGAAGGTGCTCTCGGAACTATTTAAACAAATTAACGGCTACATAATAGCTCTTCTTGCTAAATGCCTGATTAAAAATTAATTCTAGTGTTGCTGTTTATTACAAACTAAATTCTAGTGTTGTTTTAATTACAAACGTAATTCTAATGTTATTGTTTATTACAAACGTAATTGTATTGTTGCTGTTTATTACAAACTTAATTCTAGTGTTGTTGTTTAATACAAACTTAATTCTAGCGTTGTTGTTTATTACAAACGTAATTCTAGTGTTGTTGTGTTGTTAGTTTGTATAGATACACGTCGACATACTCTTCACACTTGTTCAAATATTATTTTCAGAGCTTGTGTAATATTGTAACAGAAACATGCCTCATTGAGTGAGTAGACACACAGCAGCCTCATTGAGTAGACACACGAAAGTCTCATTGAGTAGACACACAGAAGTCTCATTGAGTAGACACACAGGAAGCCTCATTGAGTAGACACACAGGAAGCCTCATTGAGTAGACACACGGAACGTAACACATGTCTTAGAAACCACATGCGAATTTTGTCGAAAAATGAATGTGAAATCTTGGAAGAGTATTGGTAAGTTGTTTTAATTCCAAACGTTATCCTCAAATAACGTAAATGGCTGTTACACAATTATAACTTACGCCCCACTCCCAACATCTAACAGAGATATACTAATAAATACTTAAGATGGTCGCCTTATAGAATTAGCTTTTTTTTCCCCAAACTTCCATGATGAGGACAATTTTAAGAAACAGTTTATTCCTTCCAAAGTAATGCCTTACTTAATGTCCAGTACATGAGTTACATTCTGTTTGTCCACAGATTTGATGACATGCAACGCTCTTTTGGTAATGTTAGTAACACCGACCATCATTGAAGGCAAGAATAGAGTTTAGAGATACATTTATTACAGGATTATTACTTAGTTCTGGTCCCATTCACGGCCCACTGCTGACTTTGCATTAAACATTCATGGCCGACAGCTGATTTTACTGGACCCCTTCGTGGCCCACTGCTGTCTTTACATCATACAATCATAGCCCAATACTGACTTTACCATCAGATATTCATGACCCACTACTGGCTCTACATCACACATTCATGGCCCACTGCTGACTTTACATCACACATTCATTCACCACTGAGCCCCTTCATTGCCCAGTTCTGATTGTAATAATCATCTTATTTAACTATATCTGTGATACTCATCTTATTTAATTATATCTGTGATACTCATCTTATTTATTTATATCTGTGATACTCATCTTATTTAATTATCTCTGTGATACTCATCTTATTTAATTACACCTGTGATACTCATCTTATTTAATTATATATGTGATACTCATCTTATTTAATTATATCTGTGATACTCATCTTATTTAATTATCTCTGTGATACTCATCTTATTTAATTACACCTGTGATACTCATCTTATTTAATTAATCTGTGATACTCATCTTATTTAATTATATCTGTGATACTCATCTTATTTAATAATATCTGTGATACTCATCTTATTTTATTATGTCTGTGATACTCATCTTATTTAATTACACCTGTGATACTCATCATATTTAATTATATCTGTGATACTCATCTTATTTAATTATATATGTGATACTCATCCTATTTAATTATACCTGTGATACTCATCTTATTTAATTACACCTGTGATACTCATCTTATTTAATTACACCTGTGATACTCATCTAATCTCATTATCTCGGTGAAACTATATGTGTTATATTTCTCGCCGTTCATTGTTTCTGTGACACTCATCTATGTCATTATATCCGTGACATCCATCTGTGATATTTATGAATGTCATTATTTTAATGAGACCAATATTACGCTATATTTCTATGACATTCATCCAATGTCATTCTGTGACACTCATCTTGTATCATTATTTTGAATGGCTCTCTGTGCCCTTCTATAGGGCCATCTTTATGCCCATATGTATGCCAATTTGGACGCTTTTTAAAAACCCAATGATTATAACAACTCGGAAGTTTTGGGAGCATTTATCTGATAGTTTTCAGTCAAGTTTTGGAAAAGCGTGTAATTAAAAAATAAATGAAATCCTGCTATGCCACCGGCTGATCTTTAATTGGATGGAATTGGTGTATACAAGTCAGTTGACTTCTGCCACGTTCAACACGTGTTTCGTTGACCTAGTTAGGCCCATAAGCCTAACGTCTTCGGTCGACCTAGTTAGAACATTACCTGACGTCTTTGATGGACCTAGTTAGAACCATACACCTAATGTCTTTGGTTGACCTAGTAAGAACCATGCACCTAACGTCTTTGGCTAACTTAGTTAGAACCCTGTACCTAACGTCTTTGATTGACCTAGTTAGAAGCCCTATACCTAAGTCTTTGGTTGACCTAGTTAGAACCATTAACCTAATTTATTGCTCCATTTACAAACAGGGAACACCTCGCCGTGCCGACGAGAGTATCGACTCCAAGATGGCGTCGTATTAAGCCTGGATGCGCACAACTTGACCCTGTTCCCCAAAGCTGACTGCACGGTGGTCCTGAGAGCGGACCGCAACATGTTGATACGCGCAGACCTTGTCTACCGTCCGGAAGGCGGGGCCACCTGTCAAACGGATTTCGTTCAAATCGGAAATGACGTCACCATGGTCGGCCTGGACCTGATGACGTCATACACGTTCTGCGATGAGACCGAGACGGAGATCATGTCCAGAGGCAACAAGTTGTGGCTAGTGTACAGAACAGCTCATACGCCCAAGCAGTTCAAGGTTGCGGTCAAGGCTGTCAGGCCAGGTATGAGCCCGTCGCTAGAATTACAATGTTCCCATCTGACAAGTTGAGGAGCGTGATCATCTTTATGCTGGTATTTTGTAGATATCGGGTACCGGTATCGTATGCGTAATAATTGCCCATGTCAATGTTATCATGATCATATTAATACGTTAACAAAATAAGACTTTAAAGTCAATAGTGAAATTAAAATAAATTATTGACGATGATAATGCACCCATGTACACTGACGACGGGGATGCACCCCTAGACGCTGACGATGGTGATGCATCCCAAGGTACTAACCATTGTGACACCCCTCCTAGACACTGGCGATGATGACTCCCCAATAGGAACTGACAATGGTGACGCCCCCCCCCCCCCCCCCCCCCCCAGGCACTGACGATGGTGATGCACTCCAACGCACTGGAAATGATGATATGCCCCTTAGGCACTGACGATAGTGATATACCCCTAGGCTCTCAAGATGGTGATGCAATCCTAGGCCTGACAAGAGTGATGCACTCCTAGGTACTGACAAGAGTGATGCACTCCTAGGTACTGACAAGGGTGATATACCCCTAGGCACTGACGATGGAGATACACTTTTAGGCCTGATAATGGCGATGCGCTCATAGGTACTGACAAGGTTGATGCACTCCTAGTCACTGACAATGGTTACGCCCCCTAGTCACTGACGACTGGGATATACCCCTAGGCACTGACGATGCTGACTGCCCCCAGGCACTGACGATGGTGATATACCCCTAGGCACTGACGATGGGGACGCACCCTAATGCCCTGACGATGGTAAAACAACCCTGGGCACTGACAATGACAGTAACCCTTGGCACTGACACTGATGACACAAACCCCTTGGCACTGATCATGATGGCACGCCCATAATCACTGACTATGTTGTGAATTTCAATGTCTGTACAGTGGACAAAATTGTTCTCACAATACACCAGGATCTTGTTGTTATAAACTGATGATAAATATGTCTCGCACCCCCTCCCCCTTAATTCTTTTTTTTTAAAGTACAATGTGATAAGGGAGAGTACACCTGTTCTCCTGCCCAGTGCATACAGAGTTCATTGGTTTGTAATGGAGTCAAGGACTGTGAGAACGGCAGGGACGAATTTTGTTATACACCAGGTAGAAAGTAAAAGGTTTGATTGTAGTTAAGGGGGTGACTTACTTCAGGTAGAAAGTAAAAGGTTTGATTGTAGTTAAAGGGGTGACTTACTTCAGGTAGAAAGTAAAAGGTTTGATTGTAGTTAAGGGGGTGACTTACTTCAGGTAGAAAGCATCAGTATTAGGAAAAATCAAGATTCTACAGGCACAGTGCAAAATTATAAAAATAATTTTACATGACTGAGTAAAAATTGTTTGGGATCCTCGGTGACAAGGGCCAATTCCAACACCTTGTCCCAATTTATTAATCCCAGCACCTTGTTCCATGTCATTAATACCAGCACCTTGTTCCATGTCATTTATCCCAGCACCTTGTTCCATGTCATTAATACCAAACCTTGCCCAACTTCATCAATCCCAACACATTATCCAATTAATTTCATAACAGCAGCTCGTCCTAATTCATTGATCCCAGGTAAAGTGATCCCCGAGAAGATCCCCTCGACCTGCTTTAGATGTGCAGACGGCACTTGCATCTCGCCAAAAGTTTTTGTTTACGAGGACTTACACGGTGTAACTGACTGGTATCTATGTGATGGTATCTCGCACTGCCCAGACTCCTGGGACGAAAATCCAGGTTAGTAGCGGTCAGTAGAGTGATGTCATCTCTCACTGCCCAGACTCTGGGACGAAATCCCAGTCTAGTTCTGGTCAGTAGATTGATGGCATCTCGCACTGTCCAGACTCCTGGGACGAGATCCCAGGCTAGTTCTGGTCTGTAAAGTGATGGCATCTCGCATTGCCCAGACTCCTGGGACGAAAACCCAGGCTAGTACTGGTCCGTAAATTGATGGCACCTCTCACTGCCCAGACTCCTGGGACGAGAACCCAGGCTAGTACTGGTCAGTAAAGTGATGGCATCTCTCACTTCCCAGACTCCTGGGACGAGATCCCAAGCTAGTTCTGGTCAGTAGAGTGATGGCATCTCGCACCGTCCAGACTAGACTTCAATTGAGTAATAACTTGATTATAAGATGAGTAATATCTGGGTGAATCATGGAGTAATGTTTGAGCTAGTAGTAGAGTAAGTATATGTAGCAGTGCAGAGCGTTTAAAATTAAATACAGTTTTAATATGTTTACTACAATACGGGATATGAGTTCGTGAGAACTAAGCGTTTTTAGTTCTTTGAGAGTAGTAACCAGAAATATTAAGAGAACAAGCAAAGAAACAGGAGCATATCTGAAAAGATATAGGTATAGTACAAGCTATTTAAAGTGACAAATCTTTAAGTATGTACACCTAGCAATGCACACGGTGGATAATTCTGGATAAACAATGTTTGATAGGTTACCCATATTACGACAATCATTCAATGAACTAATGAACTTGGGGGACAACTCTGGATTTTACAGGTTATTCAATGCATGACAAACAGACATAATAGCAATGAACATATTCTTCATAGCAAGCCATAATCATGTTGAATAATTAAGTGGAATAGCAGCGGTGATTATTTTTAATCAATAGAAGACCCCCCCCCCCCCTTTTTCCCCAAGAGTATTCAAAAAGCAAAAAAAAAAAAAAAAAANCCCCGGGTCTATGCAAGATGAGAAAGCGCCCAGTACAAATATAATTTTGTTCGCAAACATCCTGTACCTATTTTAAGCACGAATACCCTGAGCTACTCAACTAGTGAGTTAACCTACAAGTCTAGATACTTGGCTGTTACAATGATAAAGTCACACACGTTGATCTTGTTATATGTTCACATCCCTGTCAGAGGCGTAGCTAAGAGTGGGGGGGGGGGGCGACAAATGTCCCTGGCAGCCAGACTAGTTAGGTGCGCCAAAGGGTGCTTTGATATTATTTTACTTAAGAAAATAATGGGTTTGAGAGTTGAACAAAGAAAGGGAGACCCTTTAAAAGGAATCTTGTGGCCGGGCGCCAAACGGGAACGATGCGTGTTTCCAAATGAGCTAAGTCCAAACTGCTATTTGCTCGAGTACTTTCTGCTTAAACTTAAAGTGCTGTGGTTTTATTTCATCAATAGTCTATATTCTCGACCTTGACCTCAGATGCTTGTTGGGCGTACCAGCACGACAAATTTGCCTTGATACAATGTGACCGTACAGACAGACACAGAGGCGTCATCAACATGTGGAAGACAGACTTCTGTGCAGGGGCGCAACAGTGTGCTACCAACACTAGCAAGCAGGTCTGCTATGACCGATCCAAAGGTGTGTCCTAGTCGAATGCACTTAGAGTATGCAGAGCCGTCTCGTGACTTTTGGAGTCACATTGTCACTTTTCGGTTTGCGCCCCCTCCCCTTTCTTTTATGATTTAATCCTTTATAATTATACTAACTTCGCTTTTGTGTTTGGCTGACTGACTGGCTGGAAAAGTTTTCGCAGTGCTAATTGACCAAATTCCCGTCAAGCTATTGAGCTGAAGCTTGGCATATAGACTCGTTGTCTATGACAACACATTCTTTCCAATTTTCAGCCCCACACCAAACCCTCCCAAAAAAATCATTTTTTACCCCTGTTTTTCAAGGTAATATTTTAAGGGGGAAAAAAATTACACCAAATGAGATTCTCTTAAAAAAAAAAAAAATCACAAGTGCAAAATATTTTCGTATTTTTTTCATAAATAGTTGGTAAATAAATCTAAGGCATAAAAACGGGTGGGTCATTAGAAGACTGGTCTTAATATCGTTCAGTGGCGTGACCAAATATGCGGTTGCGATCCTTAAGAGGGGTGGGGGCACTAATTTTGGATTCTTATAAACAGGGGCATCATTTCAGGGTTTTTCAGGGGGAGAAGGGGGGGGGGGCAAAACCAAAACTTGGCCGGCTTGTTAAGTTGTTTATGACTGGAGGTGCCACAGAACATCGCAATTGAAATAAAACCTGCGAATTCAGGCAAATGCCCCACCCAAATGACGTCCCTTCTTATGCGTTACTTGTATGCATGTTTTTCCCAATTTTTCATCCCCCCCCCCCGTCCCCACTACTCGATATTACATTTTATAAAGGATTCATATGAAAAACTTAGTGTTTTTCCCCATTTTTCCTCCCCCCCCCCCCCGTCCCCACTACTCGATATTACATTTTATAAAGGATTCATATGAAAAACTTAGCTGTTAGAGGCTGTTTCATTATTGTTGAAGCTGATTGTTTATTGTGCGTTCGTAGTTAATTTTACTTAAAATTTAAAAATAAATTTTAAAAAATAAAAGCGAAACATTTTAAAAATGTTAATTGGTTCACCTAAACAGAGAAAAAATTGCGCTCTTTGCATCGATCAATTAAGCGAAATCAAGCTCACCATGTAGTTCATTTTCGATGCAGATCATTGATAATCTACAAAGCGTCTCTATCATTGCTAATCCATACATTTTTAGACCGTTATGACAGCTGGTGGGTTAACTTTTAAAGAGTGCCACTATTGCAAACTTTCAGATATAATTTATTGTAAAAAAACTTTTTTTTAAACATAAAAATTAAGGGCCCCTTGACCAACCGAGTTCTCCTTATCTGCAGGGGTTCCAAGCCCATGCGACGGGACTCTCAGTGAAAGGACATTTATTTAGAAAGTTTGTAAACGATGTTCACTTTTTATGTACGGTGCAATAGATTTGTCTGCTCTACATTTGTGGATATACATTGTCATCTAATGTTGACCTTTATTATAGCAAGACCAACTGGTCGAAATTTGTCCTTCTCTATGGGTCACAAGCTCAAACGGAAGGCAAAACAAAAAATGAGATTGTAAATACATTTAACTCCAACTTGAAACATCTAGTTTCGTGTCTTTTTTTATCAATTTCGTGTTAAAATATATCAATGTCACAGCTTACTTTGTAGATGATTTTTCTTCTATAAAATGGGTTCTCGACAAGTTTGGGAACCTGTGCTCTGAAATTATTCATGAAATGAAGGGCCTTGTCAATAATATTACATTTTAATTTAATGGCATTCGTAACAATCTGTTCGGTCAATGTAATCATATTGGTACAATTTTTAAACATCTTCTTCTTCTTCTTTATTTTGAGGGCCCACGATCAATGAATTGATCATTATGGCTCCTATGTTTCAGAGGGGTTTGCGATGTTACTGTGCATGGGTTTAATTTATGGTAACTTTTTATGACCTCATTTGACCTAGAGGATGGTGTTTTCATTAGATTATCTTCTCTTAGTGATGTTAGCCGTTTCGTTGAGACTAACATTGAGACTTCAATATTCCTACAGACAATGATTTCAACCCTATAGACAAACAGACTCTGATCATTGGACTGACTGCAAGTCTGGTCATCCTGACATTTCCCTTGGCATTCCTCATCTATAGAATATGTAAATATATTTGCCATCACTACCAGTCTTCAACAGCTTTAAGTTGTCATCAAAGTATTCAAAGTAGTTTTTTAAAGAAAATATCAATTTTTAAAGTTAGAGAAATATGGGAAACTAATTCTATTTACCATTACTGCTAGATACAAGGTATAGTAAAAATGAGGCAGAAAATTAAAGTTTGAAGTAAAAGGACTGTGTGGTGTATCATTATGTGGTGCTTAATTATAAACCAGATTTGGTATATACTTTTTACTACACACTATACTCTAAACTAAGATATATTATCTTCTAATTTCTTACTTTCCTTAGGAACCTTCAACTCCCCCCCCCCCAACCTTTTGTGCCCCATCAGAGCAAAGGTTTTATGTTCCACCTCTCTACACTTTAAAGGAATATATAAAAAGAGGTCCCCAAACTGCTGTTATCAGGGCCTCAAAATTCAACTTTGTTGGATAAAAAGTACAATAAGTGAAATAAATTTGTATTGCAATAAATACGTAATAGGTGTTTAAATAAAACAATATTTTGTCTTGCTCTTATCTTTAAAAAACACTTTAATTATACAATTCCGCAATCAAAGACTAAATGTCCCATCGTAATCTTCAAAATGACCCTTAGAGTAGCATATGCCCCATTTTGGGAATCACTGCTCAAAACCAAAGTTAAATAGCTTTGCCCAGGGACCCATTCAATTTCAATCCATAGTTCAAAAGTTATGTCACTGTAGGCAAACAAAGTATAGCACTATTGTTTTTCTAAATTCTCAGGCATCAGACCAGCTGGTCACAGACCTTCAACAACATCAACGGTGTCCACTACCTGTGCACACAGCTCCACCAATGATGGAGAGGACTGTCCAATGGTCAGCAGTGATGACAGCAGCGGACGTAAAGGTGGGACCGGAGGTGCACACTCTTTCAGTAGCAGAACGGATTGTGATGATGACTCACACCTACCTCTAAGACTCAAACACAAAGCTGATAAGTTGCTGTTTGACCTGCAAAGGGAGGTCTCACAGCTGGACACACTCACCTCTTCACCTAAAGCCAGACAAGTTGTCATTTAATTTACAGCTGGACATTTTACCTCTTCACCTAAAGCCAGAAAAGTTGTCATTTAATTTACATCTGGACACACTCACCTCTTCAACCTAAAGCCAGACAAGTTGTCATTTAATTTACAGCTGGACACACATTCCTACAAATAAGAATTAATATTTATTAATAACTTATGTGTCAGAAAAAAAAGTTTAACCATTCCATTACTAACTTACTAAGTCATTAATAACAAACTACATCATAGGCAAGTTAGCAGGTCATTAACAAGTTAGTAGGTCATTAATATTTGTTAATAATTTAAGATTTTGTCCCATTCTAAAGTTATATTTTTTACATAATTTATTAAAATAAAATAAATACACAGTTGGATTTAATTACTTTTCTGGCATTGTGAGACAGGTGATCAAAATTACCTGAAAACAGGTGTTTAAAAGTAAAAATAAAAGAAGATGGAAATTAAGTATGTTCTGAACAGATATGAAATTAAGTATGTTCTGACCAGATCTCAAATAAATTATGTTCTGACCAGATCTCAAATAAATTATGTTCTGACCAGATCTCAAATAAATTATGTTCTGACCAGATCTCAAATAAATTATGTTCTGACCAGATCTTAAATTAAGTATGCTCTCAAATAAATGATGTTCTGAACAGTGCTCAAATAAATGATGTTCTGAACAGTGCTCAAATAAATGATGTTCTGAACAGTGCTCAAATAAATGATGTTCTGAACAGTGCTCAAATAAATGATGTTCTGAACAGTGCTCAAATAAAGTACCTATGAGCTAATCAAATAAAAGAAGAAACAGAAATGGTCAAGAAAATAGTATTTAATAAACGTAATATTTCCATGAAAACAATCATTCATACCAAGTAATGAGAATTCACACCTTTCATTCCAACAATCAACAATAGTTTGCCATACTATTCCAACTGGGCTTTGAAATTATGATTAAATACTAGATGAGTTAAGATGATTCAAAGCAAAATTTTAACATCAAAGATTCATTCAATAAATGTCATCTTCGTTGAATATTCATTCAATTAAAATACCATTAGAGACCCATTGAATAAATGTCATCTCATTTTAATATTACCGGTATTAAAGACTCATTCAATAAATTTCATCACTAAAGAAATGCACAAATTTTCATAACAATATACGCTGTACAAAAAATCAATATATTCCATCTTTTAGCCCCACCCAACCTTCAGCCAGAATCAACGATCCTATCTTGCGCTGACTTTTTACACAGTTCATCTCTAACCTGCAAAATTGAAGAGAAAAAAAACCATTGAAGGCAATAAAGTGTTCTTTAAAGGAGATAGTTCTAATAATGTATACAGTTATAACTCCATTACATAGATCAAATAGTATTATTGTGAAGAAAATAATTGTGGGGGAAGGGAGACTATCATAAGGGTAAATCACCGATCACTACAACAGACAAGACTCAAATATCAAATAAACACTGTTCACTGGAATTGAACAACACAATTATTTCACCAATTTATGATGGCATAAATGGATTGTATATTTAGGAACATTATAGAAATTCCGTATCCGGAAATTTGTTTGGAAGAAATTTCGTCAATGGAAAATTGATCGAAGGAAATTGGGTAAACATTTTTTTCAGTTTATAGGTTAGAATTATGCGTCAAATTTCTTTCTGAATGCACTATTTTGTTTTACTTTATAGTATAGTGCGTTCAAAAAGAAGTGTGTCGAATATTGTTTACCAATTTCCGTTCGATCAAATCTCCGGTGACGAAATTTCTTTCAAACAAATTTCTGGTAACCTAGGAATTTTTTAGCCCTTGTCCAAATGAGGCAAAATGAACAACTTTGAACTAATTAACATAGCCACAAATATTTTCTGAACTAATTAGCATAGCCACAAATATTTTCTGAACTAATCAACATAGCCCCAAGTATGTTCTAAACAAATTAACATAGCCACAATTATTTTCTAGGTGCCATTAAATATTGGAATATTATGCCCTCTATTCATGGCCATCAAACAAAACCCTGATCCACAAAATGAAACCTCTGAGTACGACCCAACCCAAACTTCACTTATCCCGGAGTACTACCCAACCCAAACTTCACTTATCCCGGAGTACGACCCAACCCAAACTTCACTTATCCCGGAGTACGACCCAACCCAAACTTCACTTATCCCGGAGTACGACCCAACCCAAACTTCACTTATCCCGGAGTACGACCCAACCCAAACTTCACTTATCCCGGAGTACGACCCAACCCAAACTTCACATGTCACTGAGTGTGACCCAACCCAAACTTCACATTTCACTGACTATGACCCAACCCAAACTTCACATGTCACTGAGTATGACCCAACAAAAACGTCACATGTCACCGAGTACGACCCAACCCAAACTTCACATGTCACTGAGTATGACCCAACCCAAACTTCACATGTCCCTGAGTACAAACGCAACTCAACTTTTCAGAACCGACAATTTTTTCCCCTTATGCTAGAAATGCTTGTCTTAAACTAAAATTAGAAAACCCAATTGAAAATAATTTTTTTGAAACCAAAACGATCTTTTCTTATCATCCTCTATCCATCTCTCCACCGCCAACACACTTTGTTGCATAGGCTCGATTTGTATTTATGCTTGACAAAGTAAACAACACATTGCAGCCGACTCTTTTTCATCTATTGTAAGCAACTTGTATTCTTGCAAAACAAACAAAATTATAAGAGAGTATAAAACTAATAAAACTATTACACATTGTTTATTAGAAGTCTTAGAGAATATTCTAGAATGAGAAGATTAATATGCCATTTCGTATCACCCTTTTAACAAACAAAATTTATGTTTCCCTATTTATCATTAAATTTTAGTGTCCCATGTCTTTATTTACAACTGCCGGTACATAAATGGCGCTGCACTATGATAGGTAAAGAATCCCAGCCCCCAAATTTTTATTGCCTCTCTATTTTAAACACCCATGTTAATAAAAATTTAGAATATCCTTTATTTCCATGAAAATATCAAACTACTTTCACACCGTGATGGGAACCGAACATGCTAAACTTCAGTGATTGACGAGCCGAGCCCAAGCTTTAGTTACAGAATTGAACGGGAACTTAAGTTGTATAGAACCGAACACAAACTGCTAACAGAAGGTTCGAATCCCATCTCTACCTCATATGTAAACTACAGCAGCATAACTTGACCTTCTAACTACACCAGCACAGCTTGACCATCTAGCTACACCGACACATCTTAACCATCTAGCCGACAATACTGGTTCAAACTAGAGGCTGACCGAATTTTGGCTTCGGCACCGAAAGTGGACATTTTATCACTTTCGGCCAAGTTTCGGTTTCGGCCGAAACTGGAAAGTTAACTTTTGGCTTAATTTCGGTTTCACGAAAGAGAAAAGTTAACTTTCGGTTTTTCTTCGGTTTCGGCCGAAATTGACTTAGACTTTTGGCCATACGGCGGAAAGTTACTCAGGTTTTCAGTCATTTAATACTAAGCGAAAGCGATATTTTACAACAAACTAAGCGACATTTAAGATCAAATTAAGCAATCTTTGAGAACAAACTAAATGATATTTAACAACAAACTAAACGACATTTATGAACAAACTAAACGATCTTTAAAACAAACTAAGGGATCTTTAAGAACTATCTAAGCGATCTTTAATAACAAACTAAACGATCTTAAAGAACAAACTAAACGATTTTTAAGACCGAACTAAATGATCTTTAAGAACAAAACAATTGATCTTTAATGATTTATAAGAATAAACTTAGCGATCTTTAACAGAAGACTAAATGTTCTTTAAAAACAAACTGAAAGATCTTTAAGAACAAACTAAGCGATCTTTATGAAAAAACTAAGCGAATTTACAACAAACTAAGCGATTTTTATGAACAAACTAAACGATCTTTAAGAACAAATAAAGAGATCATTAACAAAAACTGGACGATCTTTAACAACAAACTAATGTGATCTTTAAGAACAAACTAAACGATCTTTAACAACAAACCAGGCGATCTTTATGAACAAACTAAACGATCTTTAACAACAAACTAAACTATATTTAAAACAAACTAAACGATCTTTAACAAAAACTAAACGATTTTTAACAACAAACTAAATGATCTTTAACAACAAACCAAATGATCTTTAACAACAAACTAAATGATCTTAAACAACAAACTAAATGATCTTTAACAACAAACTAAACGATCTTTAATAAAAAACTAAACGATCTTTAACAACAAACTAAACGATTTTTAAGAACAAACTTAACGATCTTTAAGATCAAACTAAACGATCTTTAAGAACAAACTAAACGATCTTTAAGAACAAACTAAACGATCTTTAAGAACAAACTAAACGATCTTTAACAACAAACTAAACGATCTTTAACAACAAACTAATCGATCTTTAACAACAAACTAAACGATCTTTAACAACAAACTAAGCGAGCTTTAAGAACAAATTAAGTGATCTTTTAGAACCACATTTTTTAGAGACCAGGTTTCAAAAAAATAATATTTTGCATTTATTTCCCCTCCTCTCCCCCCCCCCCCCCCCCC